CATATTGTTGCAAATGACATAAGCAGGAGAGAGAGTGGGAAGTGGGAGTATGAAAGTAAGCTACCAGGTCCAGGACTTAAACCATGGTTGACCATTGTGGGAATCCCACACCTTAACCACCATGCTACCTGCTAGCCCCCTCACAATATTTTAAATGCAGAAATACTATACATGATCATAAATAAAACCAATTGTAGAGAAATACACTTATCAAAATATTTAAAAATACATATGATTTATTGTAACACTTTAAATAAAATTTTCAGTGGTTCTAATAACTACCATAATTTTATAATAGTGATGAATAAAAATATTTTGAGGGCTGGCTCTGTAGTGTAGTGATTAGACCCTGTGCATTGGGAGCCAGACCCACATGGCTGACCTTGATTCAAATCCTAGCCCTGGCAGCACTCTTTCTCTGATGAGTGAATGGGCCCTCTGGTAATTAAAAACAAAAAACTGAAAAACAAAAAACTGAAAAACATGCAGGGGGGACCAGCAGGTGATGTAGTGGTTAAAGTGCTGAACTCCCATGTGGTTGACCGCGGTTTGAGTCCCTGACCGGGAGTCTTGAGACTCATGATGGCCGGGTCTGCGTGTGTGCCCAAAATCCCAAGAAGAGAATGGAGAAGGGATTTTTGGCATGGCCATCCCCCCTGGGGAGGGAAAGGCAACGATTTCTTGCTTTCTGTCTCTCCAGCAAGCACACATACTCTATAGTAAAAATTTCTTAAAAAAAAAAAAAAAAGAAAGAAAGAAAAGAAAAACATGGAGGGGGACAGCAGGTGGCCTGGAGGTTAAGGCAGCCGGATTCTGCATGGCCAACTGTGTGGTTTGAATCCCAGACCCAGCAGCGTGAAACTCACACTGGACATGTGTCTATGGGTGCCCAAATTCCGAAGAAGAGAATGGAGAAGGACTGCAGCACGATCATTTCCTCCTAGGGGATGATTTCTTATTATTTCTCACTCTCTCTCTCTCTCCCTCTCTCTCTCTCCCTCTCTCTCTCTCTCTCGTGAGTAGAAGCATCTCGTAGCAAACTATATTATATAAAATGCAAAATCCATGACATGATATGAAAATATCTGTGACTTCAGGTGGCAACAATATCACAGGTAATGATATTACTGTATTGGTTTGTCACCAGTAACTAAAAGAAATGCTGGGGCCGGCAGGTGGCATGGTGGTTAAGGCAGTAGATTCTCATATGACTGACCATGGTTTCAGCTCTGGATCTGGCAACCTGAAAATCAGACTGAGAGCATGTACATGCATGCCCAAAATCCCAGGAGAAAACAGGACTGTGGCACAGACATTCCCCCACTGGGGAGATGATTTCTCACTTTCCTTCTCTGTCTCTCTCCAGAGAGCATGCACACCTTATGGCAAAAACCTTTAAAAAAAAAAAAAGAAAGAAAGAAATGTTACATTTCAGTTAAGGTTTAGTAAATTAAAGGTAAAGATATACATTTTCCACATTCTAGTTCATAAACCTTCTGAATTCCTTGGACCCAAGTAAAGAACTAGTGACACACTCTCTTTAATCATTAGTGACACACTCTCTTTAATCCCTGCCCTCTCAATTCTTTGACAATCCCTCCTTCAAATATCTGGTACTTGGTGGAATGATGGCTAAGGTGTTGGACTCCCACATGGCCAACCACTGTTCAAGTCCCAGACCTGGTAGCTTACTTTCTCACTTTCCTCCCTCTCTGTCTCTGGTCAAATTAAAAAATAATAATAAATAAATACTTCATAGACACACACGCACATATATCTGGTCCTTTACCTTACCTTCACACGCACATATATCTGGTCCTTTACCTTACCTTACACTCATGCCTACAAACCTTAAACTTTAGCATTATCAATATTTGTAAACTCCCTTAATGTTGATTTTAAGTACCTTATTCTTATATCTTTCTAGCACTGTCCCAACTCCAAAAACAGTCCTTTTGCCTCCAGCAGAACCCCGAATCCATTAGTCCTATCACCTTTTCACTATCCTTCACTATCTCATGTTCTCACTTCCCTCCTAACCTAGCTTCAATTCCACAATTCTCTAGCTCTTTTTCACTTTACTGAATTCATCTAGCCAGAGAAAAACACACCTATGTGTTGACTGTTCTCTCTTAAAATTCATCATCTATTCAACTGTGCATTTTACTGCTTCATGATATACTGTTCCTCTAGTTTGTGCACTTTCCCACTCTCCTGGATAAGTATTTCGTGTTTTCTCTTCTCTTCTTGTCCTCTTTCTTCTTTTTAAGGGATGGTGGGGACAGGCACTTTCTGACAGAATTTTGCCATGCCACAATCGTGCGCCAGCCTCCCAGTTAGCTAGAACCGCAGATACGCACAGCTGAGCCGTGTATTTAGGTTGGTCCAGGATCCGAATCCAGAGCTTCCATGCAGCTCCGGCATTATACAGCTGCACCCTATGCCTGTGCCACCACGGCTGGGCCTCTCCTCTCTTCTAATACTCTAAATCTCATCCTTCCATCTTCTCTTCCAATAGACAACATCATACAACCTCTGACAAATTCCTAAAACAGCTGCATCTCATTGCATATAACCTTTCATCTCATCTGATATTATCTTTTTTCCCCCTGTTGTTGCTATGAATGCAGTGTCTACTCTCTTAGCTAAGGATAATTATTCCATTTGTGCAGATGATTCCACCCCTTCTCACCTAACGATGACTTTACACCAGCAATTTTCCTTCTTTCTATATAATCATTCCTATCTTTATCAAACAAAACAAAAACATCTAACCCCTGCAGCTACTGACCAAGAAGTCCTTGTAATAACTGTCTAGGTCCAGCCCTGTACTATGGCAGTTAAGTGCACAGTTCCAATCCCAGCTATGGCAGCTTGAAAAGCATCCCAGGAATATGTGTGAGCGTACCTCAAAACCTGACAGAATGGAAGGAAAAGGACTGTGGCATGACCAGGCCCCACTGGGCAGCCCACCCCCTCTGTCAGATGAGTTCACATACTCTCTGACAATTAAAAAATATATATATTGTCTATATATTCTATTCTCTTCTCCCATTTGCTTTTGAGCCTGCTACAATTTGGTCTTCACCTCTCTTTCAAACTTCACCATAAAAGTTCACTGAAACTGCTTTATCAAGGTCACCAATAACCTTCTCATTAATAAAACAGTCTATTTTCAGCCTATTCTTATTTTGACCCTCCAGCAGCATTTTCCTCTTAAAATACTTTCTTCTCTTGACTCCCAGGATATTTGACATATTTTCCTTCAGCTTTCTCACTACAGTTTGGTATGTACCACATAATGATATCCAGTCAATGACAGAGCACATATATATGACAGTGGTCCCATCAGATTAAAATGAAGTTAAAAAATTCCTACCCTAATCACTGAATGTCATACTACAGTGCAATTACTATCATGTTCGTGGTGATGCTGATGTAAACAAACCTACTGTGATGCCAGTCATATAAAAATATAGCAATTAAGGGGCCAGCAGGTAGTGTGATTAAGGCACTGGACTCCCCCATAGCTGACTATGGTCCGAGTCTTAGATCTGGGGGCTTGCTTGCTTTTTCACTTTCTCTATCTCTCTATGTCTCTCTCTAGTGAGCTCACATGTCCTATAGTAAATTTTAAAAATAACGATAAAATTAATTATTATTTTAAAAAAAGAAATGAAGAGGCCATCAGGTGGCATGGTGGTTGGAGGTGCTAGACTCCCATATGGCCAACTATGGTTCTAATCTCGGACCTGGCAGCTTGCTTTCTCACTATTCTTCTCTCTCTCTCTCTCTCTCTCTCTCTCTCTCTCACACACACACACACACACACACACACACACACACACATACACAAATACTGTCCTTCTCTTGTCAAATTTAAAAACAAACAAATAAATAAAGTTAAATAAAAATTACTTTTTAAAAAAAAAAAAAAAGGAAAGAAAATATGGCAATAAAATCAGGTACAATACATAACACTTGATAATCAATGACTATGTTACTGGTTTATGTATCACTATACTATACGTTTTGCCATTATTTTGGTGTGTACTCATTCTACTTATAAAAAAAGTTGACTGTAAAACAGTGTGCCATGTTACACCTGCAGCAGCCTCCTACACCTTATGCTTACCACATCTGTTGATTGTATCCTTTCCTCTTGTGCTTGACTTAATCTCACATTGTTTTTGTTTATTATGGCACCTAAGCCATAGGCTATTCTATACGGCCTAGGTGTGTAGATTTGTGTGGGTACATCCTATGATGGTCTCACAATGACGAAACTGCCTAAAGACACACTTCTCATAATGGATCCCTGTGATAACTGACTCATGACTGTACTCTTTGCTGTTTTCTCCACCTCTGTTTGACCTCACTGACCTCTTAAAATGCCCGAAGGCTTATCCTTTAGTCCTCTCCTCTATTCTACTTATACCCCCCCTTAGGTGACTTCGTATCATCTCCAGGCTTGAAATGTCATCTACAGGGACTGGAAGGTGGCCTGGTGGTTAAAGGTGCTGGATTCCCAAACCATGGCCAACCGTGGTTTGAGTCCTGGACCTAGAGGCTTGTTTTCTCACTCTCCCTTTCCCTCTCTCTCTTCCTCTGCGTGTGTCTTTCCCTGGAAATACTAAAATAATAATAATAAATAAAGCTAAATAAAATAATTGTAAAAAAAAGAAAAAAATGTCACCTACATGTATTCTATGACTCCCGAATTTATAACTGTAACTCATATCTCTCCCTCAAATTCCAGATTGGCATATTCAATGTCCTATACAAAATCTCTGGTTTAACATGCCCAACTGAATTTATAATGTACACTCTCCAAATTACTCATCCAGCAGCTTTTCCACCTTAGTTCAGCAGAAATAACAACAACAAAAATTATTACCCTCCTACTCAAACTATCTACATATACATTTAATCTGAGGAAATACATTTACATTGTGAATTTATTTTCCCATTGGAAATTAAAAAGTATAACATCTACTTACCAACCCAACACAGTTGCTTAAAGCCACTTTAGTTGTACTATGTTGATCTTGCAAATATCCTGTGTAATGACAGTTGTCTAAAAAATCATGCTTCCATTGGGGTCCATCTTTTCCCCAATATTCTACTGTAAAATGCTTGGACACGAAATCTGTATTGAGAGTCAAGTTTAGGTGAAAGTGCTTGCCATAGGCTGAAAGTTTAAAAAATAACTTAGATACTGCCTGCTGTGGATCAATAGGGTCCATACTCCGTCTTCTCCTTGAGTGTTTATCATTTTTCACAGTAAAGCTGAGAAAAGCTCCATTTTGATCAACCCTTATTGGAATAGTTAGCTGGTAGTGTTCAAGATAAGTCAGGAATTCCTCTTTGTAATCACAGGCAGAGAATCCAGAAAAAACACATGGAAGAGAGGAAATTTTAACAGAACAAAGAAGTAGCAATATAAACAACAACTATAATAGTTAAAACTATACATCACTATATATGTAGTATGGACAGAAAAATGTTATATTAAACAAAATGAAAGATAAAAGCTTAAAATCTAAAGATTAAATCCCAGTTATTTTATTCCTCAAAATAAGAACATTTTAAGATTATTTGTGAAGTACTTTTTTTCTTTTAAAATTAAACTTAAAAATATAAATTCTAGAGTGAGCTCATGGCATGGTGTTTGAGACAGCTGGATCCCACATAGCCGACAATGCAGATCAAGTCCTAGACCTGGTGGCTTGAAAAACAATGATAGGCACATGTGCATACTTGCCCAAAATCTCTCAAAAAAGGAGAAATGGAGAAGAGGGTGCCATGAGCATCCCTATGGGGAAGTACTTTCTCACTTCCCCACCTTCTCTGTCTTTCTCCAGGAAGCACAGGCAACTTCTAGCAAAAATCTAAAAAAAAAAAAAAAATCTAAGTCCTAAATTCTCCAGGAAATGTGAAAGTTTTACAATGAAATACAGAACAATAATAAGTGCATATATAAAAAAGAATTGAGTTTAGTTCAGGTAAAATCTGTTTTTAAAAGTTATACAAATGAGTTTACATAGAATTAATAGCATTGTAGAATTTTCTTTTTTAAAAATCATCTGAGGTATGTAAAATCCCCCAGCACTTTGGAAAACAGTCTGGCAGTGCCTCAAAATGTTAAACATGGAGTTACCATATAATCCAGCAATTCCACTCCCAGGTATATACACAAGAGAAATGCAAACACACATTTACATACAATGCTGTACATGAATGTTCATATAATCATTAGTCATAATAGGAAAAAAGAGAAATCATCAAAATCTCCATTAATTGATTAATAGATAAGCAAAATGTTGTATATCCATGTAATAGAATACTTTTGCAATAAAAAGAAATGTAGTAAGATTCATGGTATAACTGAGCCTTCAAAATAATTGCTTTCATAATCAAATTTCCATTATCTAATATATAAAAACATGCTAAGTAAAAAGGGCCAGTAACAAAAGATAACATTTATATAAAATATCTCCAGAATAGACCAATCTCCAGAGAGACATTTACAGGTTTAGAGGTTCTAAGGGCTGGATTTCAGGAGTGGTTTGTAGGGAATCTGAAGTAACTGCTAAGGAGTACGGGGGGATGAAAATGTTCTAAAATTGATTATGGTGATGATTGCACAATTCTGAAAATCTAAAAGTCATCGAATTGTATACTTTAAGTGGGTAAATTACATGGCATACGTAATATATCTCCATAAAGTTGTTAAAAAAATCATTGGGATAATTAAAAATTCAGAGCACTATTAAATATATTCCCTTCATTTAGACAGGATAAATGTTACCTACCCATCTGCCTTCTCAGCCATACCTTCCTTCAGCTAAGCTTACTGAAGACAAAGCTTGCCAAAAGACAAAAACTACAAAATAACTAAAGGAAACCAAATGCCTTTCCCATTGCCTCACTGTCTACACATGAAGTTTACCTACAAACATAAAACTTTCATGAATCCATAAGTGAATGGAAATAAACTGAAAGACAGTACTCATTTCACTTTTTAGAAATAATAGCTCATGGAACAGCAGTTAGCATAGTGGCTATGTAGCTGGACTCCCATGTAGTCCACCACGGTTCCTGCCCCGGACCCGGTGGTTTAAAACTCATGCCGGGCACGTGTGCGTGCGTGCCCAAGATCCCAAGAGGAGAACGGAGGAGAAGGGATTGCGGCATGGCCATCCCCCCTGGGGGGTGATTTCTCGCTTTCTGTCTCTCTGTTTCTTTCTGTCTGCCGAGTGCACACACCCCATAGCAAAAACCTCTCAAAAAAAAAAAATGAAAGAAAGAAATAATAGCTCATAATAAATGCCATGGTTTCACTGCTATAATTTGAGATTTACACTTTTTACACATAGACTTCTATACACATACATCAGTCTATAAAAACCTAGAAAATTTGGCTAATCATAACTAAAAAAAAATGATCTGTCACTTTACTTTTATGGTAGGGAAGTCCAAAAGGTATGCCTTTCAAAAAATTTTTTAAAGTTTGGACTGGTCCTTGGGAAAAAAAATATGGCATTTATTTCTGGGACCTTCTTTGTGAAGATCTTTTCTTTGATACAAAGTTCAATTCTACAGATTAAAGTGATAAGAATTAGAATCTGAAAAGTTGAACTTCTTACAACTCTCACTCTTTAACTCAGATTCTGGTTCTTAAGATTATTAAATTTAGGAAAATATTTTTCCACAAAGGGTCTATATTAGGCAGTTCTATGTCAGAACTTATCTGTTATCTTCCTCTTCCACAGCATAAAACTTTGGATTCTCATTGAACATAACCTTGCTCATAAACCTTGGCAATTAATTATTAAAGTTTAAGACTCAGAAGAAGTCTGGGTTCTGTCATAGCCAAACAAAAGTCAGTCAACTCTAAAACTGTTTTAAAACAACTGAAACACACTCTTAAAGCCCTTAGCATTTATGAAACTAGCACTGAATTGACCTCTGTAGGCCTTTATTCCTTTCGCTACATATCCCAAAGAAAGTATTTGTTCAAACTAAATATTCAGAATCTTTTCTTGTCTGGTAAGTCACAATTATTTTTTGTCAGACTCAAAAGCAGGAATCCTACCTTGAGAACTGTATGAAAGCCTGTGGTCGCTATGAAATTCCGATGAAGCCATAATGAGGCTCAAAATCCAGGTCAACGTCTTCCACAAAATTTCCATAATTTAGAAAACTAGATGACTTTTTAGAGGGCTACCTATGTGCTAGAGAGTCACTATCATACCCAAATCGAAGCATAACAATTTTATTTCTTAAAACTTGTAAATTAGTTATTATTACATCTTCCACTGTTTAACGGGCACTTTTTTCCAAAATCCCATGCTATCGTCCATATCTGGATTCATTTTTTTCAATCCAAAATGAAAAAAAAATGATGATAAAAATGTTCATAAGCAAAGTATCAAGTTGTTTAATTACCAAAGTACGGCCATTTTTTAACCTAGAAGAACAAACAAACAAAAACATTAAGTTAACTGAAAAGTATCCTGAATGGACAGATCTATACATTACTGAACTTGCCAAAAGACAAAACTACAAAATAACTTAATATAGTTAAATTAAACTATTGTTTTTTATAGTGTAAATAAACATTCACAAGATTAAACACAAATTAGAGACCTTAGTGGATAGTACGATAATGCCAGAACTAATAAAGAGAATCTAAAGGGGAATCATAATACTTATTTTAAAACTTTGAAGATAACAATGGATGGGTACACTGAGCTAACTTCTTTTTGATCAAATAAAAAGTAGACTGACTTCACAATTTAAATACTATATGTAAGTGACAAGCAGTATACAATCCCATTTCTTAATGTGCTTTTTCAGCATACTCATAGCCAAAGATTGTCATGTTGCTTTATGAGGCACTTATCATTTTATCTGACAAAGCAGATCTACAAATGATACAAGATGATATTTAACTGTCATCTGTGAACATTCAGACAGTTATCACAAACCAAACTTTTTTTTTAAAGAGAGATTTTTGCTGTAGGGCATGTGCACTTGCCTGAGAGACACAGAGAGATAGAGAGACAGAAAGCAAGAAATTACCCTCAAAGGGAATGGCCACACCACGATTCCTTCTTCTCCCCTCTCTTCTTGGGATTTTGGGCACACACGCACACACACCCAGAGTGAGTTTTAAGCAACTGGGTCCAGGACTCAAACCACAGTCAATTACATGGTAGTCCAGAGACGTAGCCATTACTCCAGCTGCTAGTCCCACAAACCAAACCTTTAAAAAGTTGAACAATATTTTCTGTGACCCTTGACTTTATCTGGAACTCTATATGATTTATAAGGCAACTATTTGAGGCAACTTCAACTCTCCAGAAGGTGACTAAAAAGAAAAGAAAATTTTAAAACTTCATTCCATTTATCAGGACAGATTCCCAGGTCTACCTTGTGCACTTTACTTATGGCTGATGACCGTGCTCAGAGTTTATAAACTCATATTTTACACAGAATACTGGCATACTTAGCTGCCTGATTTCCCAGCATATAGCGCTTTAGAAGAAAATAGCTAAGAGACTAAAAACTAGTTCATTAACAGTGACAAAAAAGGACAAAAACATAAGTGCTTTAATAAGATAAATTACTGTTAATAAGACAGGAAAATATACAAAAGATATCAGAAAGAATTTTAAGTCCCTAATATATGGGGTTATCATAGAATAAATGTTTACTACATACCTATTGATTGAAAAATAGATGGGTAAATTAATGAATAAATGTATAATGGTTAAATTAGAATTACTTTAGGCAGATAAAAGAATATTAGTTAACTGAAAAATTACTTTATGTGAAACACTTCATTCACTAGGGTGATAGAAATATTGGTTGCAACAACATATAAAACAATCACAACCATTTAGAAACCTTATGTCTGTCTCTACAAGTTATGAAACTGCTAAACCATGGAAAAACTAATTCATTAATCAAAAAACACTATTTCATATGTTTAAAATACAGTGTATAACAGTATCAGGATACAGAAAAGTATTAAGGAATACAGAAAAGATTAAGACGCAATCCTTGCCCTAGGGTAGCTCATAATCTAAATAATGATGAAAAATTCAAGGTAGTCAAACAAATGCCAGAAATAAAGTTATGAAAAAGTGTTAGAAGAGATCTGATGTGGGAGGTGACTTCTGAGTCAGAAAAGAAAGGATTAAGATAAGCTTATGAAAAAAGTATCATGTGAGATAGGTCCTGGAAAATCAATGAAAATTCACAAGTCAAATTACTGAAAGTAATCATTACAAATAGAAGACATGTATTCCATAGTCTAGGTGACAAAAAAAAAAAGGGGGAAATAGTAAATAGTAGTAGTAGAAACAGTAAATTTGATTCCTGTACAGATGATTAACAGGTAATATCTGGAAAGGTAATTTAAGGTCAGATCAAAACTAAAGAGCTTTAAATATATTTTACTTCTCTTTTTTTTTAAGTTTGCTACAGAACATGTGTGCTCGCTAGAGAGAGAGAGAAAAGCAAAATGAAAATTCTCTCTCCAGCGGAAATGGTAATGACTCAATCCCTTCTCCTCCATTCTCCTCTTATGAGTATGGACATGCGCGCACACATACCCAGCATGATTTTCAAGCTGCCAGGTCTGGAACTTGAACTAAGCAGTCAGCCACGTGGGATCTATGTGCATTAACTTTCACATAATCTACTAGCCCCATATTACTTCTTTTAATCTTTACCATAGTCTTGTGAAGTGGGTATTATTGTCCCTATGGCAGGGCAAAATCTGATGGCCCCATGTTTCTGCCTTCTGATGGACATGACCTTGAGTTATCCCCTCACTTTGAATAATTTGATTCTAACCAGTAGAATATCTCAATGATAATATCCTCGCATGATTAGATTACAAGTGATTCTGACTTCCCTCTTGCTAGCACTCTCTCTCGTTGGCTTAGATGAAACAAGTAGCCATATGAAGAGGATCACAAGAGCACTAAGAGCAGCATCTAACACCACTAGCAGTGAAACTGAGGTTCTCAGTCAAATAGTATACAAGACACTGAATTCTGTCCACTCTGAGCTTAGAAACAGACTCTTCCCCACTCAGACCTTCTGTGGAGACTCTAGCTCTTTCCAACACTTGGTAGCCCTGTGAGAAATCCTAAAGCAAAAGTCATAGCTAAGGTATACCTAGATTCCTGACCCACAGAAACTGTGAAATAATACATGTGTGTTAGATCACTACGTTTGTGGTAATATGTCACACAGCAATTGATAACTTATACAGCTGCCATCTTATAAAAAAGGTGAAGCTCACAGAGGTAAGATAGCTATAAAATAGAAGAGTCTAAATCCACACACAAGGCTATCTGGCTCTAAAGGCTGGTTTCTTTGTATTATAAAATACTCTTAGTAACTGAAATATTCAATAGTAGGTTGGCTCCATAGCCTAGTGGTTATGATAGTCAGATCCTACAGAACCATCTGCACAGTTCCAGTCCCAACCCTGGCAGCTAGAAAAACACACCAGACACATGAGTGCATGCCTCAAATCCCCCAAAAATAGAGAAATGGAGATCTTTCTGTCTCTCTGGTGAGTGGGTATGGCTTCTGATAAATTTTTTAAAATTAAATTAAAATTGGGACCAGCAGGTGGTGTGGTGGTTAAGGGTGCTGGATTCCCACATGGCCAACCACAGTTCATGTCCCAGACTAGGCAGCTTGCTTTCTCACTTTCTCTCTCTCTCTCTTTCACTCTCTCACTCTCTGGTCAAATTAAAATAAATAAGTAAATAAATAAAGTTGAATAAAATAATTATTTAAAAATTTAAATTAATTTTTTTAATTAAAAATTCAGACCAGCAGGTAGCATGGAGGTTAAGTAAGCTGGATCCCACACAGCTGACTGCACGGTTAGAGTCTCGGACATGGTGGCTTGAAAAATCACACTGGCTCATGTGCGTACCTGCTCAAAATCCCAAAAGAAGGGAGGAAAAGGGATTATAGCATAGCCATCCCCATGGGGGGGTTATTTCTCAACTCCCACCCCTTTCTCTCTCTGTCTCCAGTGAGTGCAAACACCCTGTAACAAACTAAAAACAAATAAATAAAATGAAAATTCAAATTTTTAAAAATTCAATACCAGCTGCATAGAACTGATGTCAAATTACATATTCATAAATGGCATCATTAAGTTACTGTGAACAGGATTTAGTATCTTTCCTTTTAGTATTGTTTTTTAAGTACTAGCTGATTTAGGAAGTTTTCAATAATCTGAAAATATCTCTCCCTCTCTCTCTCTCTCTCTCTCTCTTTAAGGTTTTAGCCATAGGGCATGTGTGCTCACCAAAAAAAAGGCAAGAGAATGGAAAGGCAGGAAAACTGTACATGTATACAGATGTGCCAGGCATAATCTTCAAGCCACCAGGTCCAGGGCTAGAACCATGGTCAGCCATACAGGAGTCCAACACCTTAACCACCACACTGCCTGCTGGTCCCAGTTTGTAGTCATCTTTACATACATTCATTGTTTCTTCTCAAAATCACTGCTATAATGATTTAGGCAAGACAGTGAACACTGTATTTCGAACACTATATTTTTCTAAAGAATTATTTATTTTATTTTACTTACTATGTTATTTGTAAAATTTGGCCAGAGAGAGAGAGAGAAAGTGAGAAAACAAGCCACCAGGTCCAGGACTCAAAACATAGTAGAAGTCCATGTAGGAGTCCGGTGCCTCAACCACCATGCTACCTGCTGTCCCTCAACACTATACATTTTCTCAAGTAAAAATCTACAGCGATTAAGTCATATTTAATAACAGTGATGAAAAGGATCCAGTTATTTTGGTTTCCAATCTACTTAAATATAGTCTCTACACTTCAAACCTTCCCATGAGATATTTAACTGTCATTGTTGATTCATGAACAACATATATTCTCATTGTTTTAATTTTTTTCAAATCTCTCAGGTATTTTGAATAATAATATCTGACATTAAATGAGTACCTCACATACTTTACACTGTATTAATCCTATAAAAAGGAATATATACTTAATATATGTCAGTTAATTTTTTAGTAATAGTGATAGATTTGAACTGAATCCTTCATTCTTTTTCTCCTATTTTTCTGCATTTTGAAACTAATGACAAACTTACAGCATGGTTGGTTGAGTTTAAGGAACAAATATGTTTCCCCTTTAAGAAATTTCCTGCTCTTCAGTTCTGTAACCTTTACTCTTACCCTAACACTGCCCTGTAAATGCCCAAGTTAACTAAGCCAGTAGCACTGAAGAAAAAACCTAATGGTTAACTAGTTGGGCAGAAGTAGACTAACATTTGCAGTAAAAAGGGCATTGGTGCATAGAAGAAAAAGCAGGAGCTTTTAAGTGAAACAAATCAGGGTTATACTCTTGGTTCCACCACTAAGCTATGGTATCTGGCACATGGACACTCAATAAACTTGG